TGGGGGCTACTTGGGCCAAGGAAGGGGCAGAGAATAAAGCCAGGTTGTGCAAATGCCCAGTTCTGATGGTGTGATGGGCTGAGGCACGGAGCACAGGGGGACAACCCCTCCACCGATCCAGACTCACCTCCTTTAGGATGCAGTGGCGACTCGCAAGAAGATCATGAAACAGAAGGAGATGGTGTGGAGGAGCAACAGGAAGCTCAGTGAGCTGGAAGAGGTGGCCAAGGAGCGGGCCCAGAACCTCCTGCAGAGGGCCGACAAGCTGCGGATGGAGCAGGAGGAGGAGCTCAAGGACATGAGTAAGGTGGGTGCCTTATCTCACCGCCACCCTCTACTTCCCCGTGAATTCACGCACAGGGCAAGGTGAGGAAGCAGTGGGTGCGAGGCGGTGGGGATGAGCTGGGGAGTGGGGGAAAGGTATACCTGTCAAGGTAGTCCTTGTCATCAGAGAGGACCGACTCTGCTGCCTGCTTGCTGTGTGACCTTGAGCAAGCCCTCTTGTCCTCTCTGAGCCTCACTTCCTTCATTTGTAAAATGAGGATGGTAACACTACTTGGCAGAATTATTGGCAGGATCAAATAAGCTAAGATGTAGGAGATCCTTTCTGAACCATGATTCATAAACAAATGGGAGGATATTGCTTTTTATTTTTATCCTGCTAGTTCAATTCTGGCCACAGAGGGTGGTTGAGGCAATGGGATTTGTTTTGAGTACTCAGAGCGCATCCTTTAGCTGAGAGCATAAAGACCAGGGACTCGTTTGAAATTCTATTTTGTGATTCCTTTTGCATGCGGTCCTTTTCCTGACCAAATGAAAAATGCCGATTCCCCAACACCTTCATCTCTGATTTCTGTCTTCCAGGTCAATCATTTTTACGTATCCCTCCTTTTATTTCCCAAGGCTTTTACATCTTGGTTTTTATGGACGGACCCAGGTTTTTCATCCCTTTTTGTATCATGTTGGGCTCTTCCAGCTTGTTATACTTCTAGTGGCCTGATCTCATTAGACTGTTTTAACTTCACTGAGCTTAACTTGGGGCTCATGGGTCCCAAAGGACAATCCATTAACCCCCAGACACTATAACACTTTGAAAGAAGCTATTCTGGATCTGTCTTTGCACAGACCCTAGCACCTAGAAGGAACCCAGGAATTTATAAGGGGGAAAGCAAATACCAGAATGTTCTTGCTTCTCTGGATTTGTGATCAGCCATGCACAATGCCAGTACACTTCAAGATATTCTGCTTCCATTTCTCCCCCTTACACTTCCTCGGACCCACAGGGCATCCCTTCCTGTCCTTGCCCCCAGGTCTAGTGCCTCACTTTGGTCTCCATTCCCTAGATTATCCTCAATGCCAAGTGCCATGCCATCCGGGATGCCCAAATCCTAGAGAAGCAGCAGATACAAAAGGAACTGGATGCAGAGGAGAAGCGGTTGAATCAGATGATGGAAGTGGAGCGGCAGAAGTCCATTCAAAGGCAGGAGGAACTGGACAGGAAGAGGAGAGAAGAAAGAGTACGGTAAGGATGTGGCTTGGGCATTTCTCCGCTAAGTCATTTCCATACCTCTTGAGGTCCATGTCGCTTTGAAAAGAGGGAGGAGGTGAGGCCTGGTGGTCATCATCATCTGTTACCCCCATGGAATGAGGCAGAGAATCCTAGAAGTTTTACAGCCTGTTTCCAAGATCATAACAGGTGCTTCTCAAGCTGGCCACAATTCAGGCTCCTTGTCACAGGTTCACAATTTTTTATTTTTCAGTACTGGGGATTGAACCCAGGGGTGCTCTACCACTGAGCTACACCCTTAGCTCTTCTAATTTTTTTTTTTTTAATTTTGAGACAAGATCTCATTAAGTTGCCCAGGCTGACCTTGAACTTGTGAGCCTCCTATCTCAGCCTCCTGGGTAGCTGGGATTACAGGCGTCTGCCATTACAAGTGGCTGCAATTTTCATGACTTTTGTTGTTCCCTCTTTTTTTTTTTTTTACTGACTACCCTTCTTCTTCTTTTCCCTCCTGGAAAAGGAAAAATGGGAGAAGACAAGATCAGGATAAAAATCAAGGGAAGCAACATGAGATTCCCATTCTGGTGGAGCGCTTGAATGGCTTCACTCTTCAGATGAAATAAGCAGGAGCAGTGAGCGAAAGATCTACTTGGGGATCTTTTCCTTTCTGTAGTATGTGACTTTGCTGTCACTTCCCCTGATAACCCTCCCTCACTTCACCAGGCAGGCTTAGTGCCTTCCTTGTCCGTACCCTGCCATTCTGTATTTATACTCTCAGGTGCCACTTCTTGTGCTGTGGCTCCCTGGTCCTCGCTAGACTGGGAGCTTATTGAGCACAGAGGTCCTGCCATTCATTTCTGAAGCTCCTGGGCCTTGCAGGGTGTTCAGCCTGGAATAGGTACTTCATTCACATCAGGATGCATAAATGCATTTTCCCTTTTTTTCATTTTGCAGAAAAGGGAAAGTCCTAGGGAAGGTAGATTACAGAATCAAAGTGTCCCAGAGTTAGAATACGAACCATGTGATACATGAATTACTTCTATGAGCAGTTTTCATGCCACGTTGGAGAGCAGTTTTATCTAAAGAGAATTGTGCCTTTGTAAGCTCTTGAACCATTCATCTCTGTGCTTCTAGTAGCTACCCGGTAGACCATCTTAGGCTCCCAGTTAAACTTATTTTAGTGGCTAAGTGGCTGTTTACCTTCTGCATAAATAGCTCCGATAAAGGGAAAACTTCTGCCTCATTAGGCAGAGCCAATAATTTGACCTGGTTGAGCCCAGTCCGGCTTCCATGTAGATCTTTTGCCCACTGCTCCTGCTTATTTCATCTGAGGTGTGAAGCCATTCAAGTGCTCCATCAGAATGGGAATCTCATAGTGCTGCCCTTGATTTCTATCCTGATCTGGTCTTCTCCCATTCTCCCAGGCTTGACTCATGATGTTGGGTCTGCATGCTTCCAAGTTCATTGACATCCCAGTACACACAGGGATCCCTGCAAGTGATGATTGTAGACCCACTCTCTCTGCTTCTGACTGTTGAGCTTGGGCTGTGCCCAGTGGAGAGACTTCATCAGACTCAGCCCTATCTACCAGCAGCCGACGGTCTCAAACGTGAGGGAGAAAGTAAAAAAAGACAGTTGTCACACTAGGCGTGGAAGACAAGATAAACTGGGTGATAGCAGAAGCACTAGAGGAATTAGACTTTTAAATTCTGTGAGGCTAGCATACCTTGCTAGCTTCCATACACTGAGAAGACTTGGGAAGAACAGGATTCCAGTAACTAGTTACATATTGAAAATGAGAAGCTGTATTAAGCCGTCGGGTGACTCCTGGGCAAACAGATTGGAGAGGAATCTCAGGAAAGATGGGTCCCCAGAGCCAGGAGCTGAGAAAAGAGGGACCGATCCCCCAGGACATGCTGGGGAAGGACTTTGGTCTGGATCCATCAAGCCTATCCAGGTTGAGGGGCATGTGTCAAATTGTCCCTGAAACTGCCTGACTTGGGGATTATTTGGATGGAGGTCAGAGCAGAGAGACCTGGACCCGTGGTTCCTGAGACACCGTGGTGCTGTTCCCTCCTAGGGGAAGACGGCACATTGTGAAGCAGATGGAAAGGAACCGGGAAGAGCGATCTCTGCTTTCGGAGCAGCGGGAGCAGGAGAAGGAACAGATGCTGGAGTACTTGGAACAGCTCCAGGAGGAAGACCTTCGGGTAACAGGGCTAGACAGGTCATGCCAAGTTTCCCCCAGCAACCACAACAAAGTACTCCAAGATCTGGGGATTCAGGGTGTAGACTGATTTCTGTTAGGCACACGCTCATTTCACAACATCGGCACCATCAACCTTTTAATGCCATGTTAAACATTTATTTGGCCATGGTGCCATGCTGGGGGATGAGCAGTGATTTGGACAGGCACCGTCCCTGTCTCCTGGGGACTTTGGGTCTCAGTGACCTATCCATGTGAACAGACACATAAAGGAAATACACTGGCTGCAAGCTTTGCACAAATAAACACAGGGACGTTTTACAGTCTTCCCTCAATTATCCAGGTCTATTATCTAGTTTGCAAGAACAGTAGCAGTGTCTTCGTTCCAGGCTCCCCGCTGTTACCTCATTCAAAGAGCAGAGCATCCCATGGTCATTAATTGTGTGGTGGAGCCAACCCTTTTCTTCCTGTTAGCCCAAATAAAATTAGTAGGAATATCTATTGCAAAAGCAAACCAAACCAAACAAAAAAACTGATGAAATACCTGCCCAGACTAAATAGACTTAAAAACTCCTCTTTTATTTGCCTTATCTGATCTGTTTCAGTAAACAAAAGCACAGTGAGAGGGGACACAGCAGGGATTTGGAGCATTGATTTGTTTTTCTTTCAATTTTTTTTTTAATTCAAAATATTTCACACAGAAAAGGTGAAAACACTGTATCACACCCATCAATTTTTCATTTAGATTTAACGATTGCTAACAATTTGTTTTAGTGGCTTGTTTCTTTCTTTCTTTTTCAGTACTGGGCATTGGATCCAGAGAGCTGTACCCTGAGCTACACTCCCGGCTTTATTTTTTTCATTCTGTATTTTGAGGCAGGGTCTCTCTAAGTTGCCCAGGCTGATCTCAAACCTAAGATCCTTCTGTCTCGAACTCCTGATTAGCTGGGATTACAGGTGTGGGCCACTTCTCCCAGCCGTGGCTTGTTTCTTTCTAGGTGTATATACATATTTTGCTAATTGTTAATCTAGTTTAAATTACAGACACCTTGACATGTAGTCACCAATTGCATCAGCCTGCATTTCTGAAGAACCAGGGCACTCTGACATGCCAACAGTACCATTTATCACGTCCTCCACCAAAAACTCTAATCCAGTGATTCCCTCTTATCACCTAATACAAAATTCATATTCAGGTGTCTTCAGTTGTTCAAAAATGTACTTTCAACTCTTTTCTTCTTTTCAAAACAGGCTCCAATCAAGGTTTGTACATTACAGCTGCTTAAGTCTCTTTAGTACGTTTTGATTTAGAAGAGTTTCCTCATTTGTTGATTGATTTATTGTTTAAAATGTATTTTTAGTTTTAATCGACACAGTAATTGTGCATCTTTATGGGGCACATTGCATATCGTATACATTGCATGTGTACAATGTATAATGGTCAGATCAGAGAAACTAGCCCATCCATCATTTCAGACACTTATTATTTCTTTGTGTTGGGAACATTGAAAATCTTCCTTACTAGCTATTTTGAAATATTCAATTAATTGTTGTCAGCTGTAATTATCCCTCTGTGCTATAGAACATAGAAATGATTCCTGCTATTCACTGTGTTCCTGTACCCATTAACCGTCTTATCCCCCCATCCCCCTCACCACACATTAATTTTGAAGCATACAGGTCATATGCCTTAGGCTAGCTTTTTTCTTTTTCTCTTTTGGTAGTTCTGGGGATTGGACCCAGGGTCTTGCCTATGCTAGGCTAGTGTTCTACCACTGAGCCCTAGCCCCAGCCCCAGGCCGTGTGCCTTAAAAATGTCCTGCATTGGTTTGTCTGATTCTTTTTCTTCATGGTACCATTTAACTGGTGGAGCACATTTTTTTTTTGCTCCTCTCCCATGTTTACAGTTGATAAACATCCATAAATGTCCACCAGAGCATTCCATAGTGGTGAGTGACTGGGGACTGTAAAGAGTCCCACAGTCGGGCAGACTTTAAATTATGAAGGTCCTGCAGAGTGAGTCCCCAGTGTGAAGGGAGGGAGGAAGATCACCTGGATAGTTGGAGAAGCCGAGGGCACACGGTTCGGTGAGGTGCTTGAGAAGGGGACTGAGGGGGTCAAGAAGACAGAAAGACCTGGCCAAGTTACTTCAGTTCCTGGTGAAGAGAGAGGAGGTGAGAGAGGGTCCGGAAGGAGAGGTGTGGGGCAAACATGCAGAGAAGGGAGAAACAAAACTGGAAAACCCAACTAGATGGTGGGGATCGGGACTTGGTGGCCACCCTAGAAATTCCAGGAATCAGTGAGTCAACACCATCACATTGACGTTGTGTCATTGTCCTTTGGATGTCCCTCCAATAGGCACTCCCTGAGTCTCCAGGAAGTATTATTAGGCAACTTCAGGGCAGATCCCTGTGCCTGCCCAGCTTTAGAGTGGCCGGTGTCATCTCAGGGGGTGCAAGGGCAGCTTTCTCACCTTGCTAGCAAGGTGGAGAGAGAGTGCAGGGAGTTTCTCTGGGCTGCTTTGAAGGTCTTCAAAGATGAGAAACAGGGAAAGTCATTCTGTTCCTCGGAAATGAAATGAACCGACCAAACCAACAAACCAGAGAGTGCATAAATAGGTAAAGAAGTAAGCCAACAAATACCCGATTGCACGTGTGTTCTGGATCAGAGATCAGCAGCTTCCTTGGCCTTGAGTGTCAATGAGAAACTGGAAAAGGAGAAGAGTGGAGCGAGCAGAGGAGGACAGAGAGAGTGGGGGAATGTGCACGGTCATGACTCAGGCACCACGTGAGCTTGGAGGAGATGGTTGCTGTGCTTCCCTGGCTCAGAGGTTTCATGGAGGAGGGAGTCCCGAATTGGGCTGCGAGCCAAGCCCTGGCGGAGACACACAGGCAGGGTTGCATGGCTTGAGTGTATCAGGGCAGAAGCGGAGCCGAGGAGGAGCTGGAAGGCCCGGAAGGATTTAGTCTTTGAAGAAATGTAGGGAGCTGTAAATAGTATGGGAGGTGGGGTGAGCTGGTGAGTAGAAGAGTTTGAAGCAAGGAGGAGTCTGAGACTGATCAGAGGTGCTGGCTTGTGGGCCGCTGCACAAGATTGCAATGCCCTTTTGCTTTGTGACCTGAGAACGTGCCTGGGCTCAGAACATCTGATCATCGAGAGATTTCGGAGGCTCAGGGCTGGAAAAGGCAGGGGTTCTTTCCTTAGAAAGGATTTTATCCCTCAGGGTCAGGTTGGTACTCTGCTCTCCATTGCTCAGAAACACATTTCTGGGTCTAAGACCCCTGCCTCCCCCACCTCATGTGCCACTCTCTGTAGTTCTCATTTATCAATAGATTAAGTATTGCTGTTTCCCTTGAATTGAGCGAGATACTTTTGGTGAAGAAAGGGGATGTGACACAGGTCCCTGTCCTCTAGCTGGGACTCAGTGAGCACCTATGAAATGAACAGGACTCTACAAGGTCGTGTATGATCAACTCTCAAGAAATGTGGCATCACCTCAGTGCAGAGGGAATTCATAAATGGAGAGAGAATTGGAATAATCCAGGGGGATTTCTGTAGGAGGGTAAAACTTTAACTCAGACAGAGCAGGTTTCAAAATTCTGGCCGTAGGGTATATTAGCTGTGTGGTCTTGGGAATGTCAGTTAGTTCTTGGTTTCAGTTTTTTCACCTACACAAGGCCTGCCTTTCCTCGTTTTTGGATAGATTTAGGTATTAAAGATAGCCCATACTGCCAGGCACAGTGGTGCACGCCTGTCATCCCAGTGGCTCAGGAGGCTGAGACAGGAGGATGGCCAATTCAAAGCCAGCCTCAGCAAAAGCGAGGCCCTAAGCAACTCAGTGAGACCCTGTCTCTAAATAAAATACCAAATATAGGGCTGGGGATGTGACTCAGTGGTCAAGTGCCCCTGAGTTCAATCCCTGATACCAAAAAAAAAAAAAA